AAAATCGTGTTGCTCATTGTTTACATCAAATCTGAATTCACATATCTCAAGAGGAGGCGGAAGTGACCTATCGTGTATAATTTTCACTATCGCGAGCGAGCGAATGGTTCCGAGAGTACGCATATTGAGATATGGCATATAGTAAAAATGCTATTGACGAACAACAGCCATGCTGTCGACTGGCCGAGCACAAACAAACATTCTAAATTTTAAAACAATCTATTTTTCTGGATTTCTGGTGTGCGTATCCCTCTTAATTCATTGCGAATGGGAAGTCTATAACTGTAACGCCATGCCACTATATTTCATTCTACAAAATTGTATTGTAAATGTCGCAAAACGAAGACTCAAAATAGTATGACAGAACTACAAACTGTGTGAGTGTCCGTATGCATATACATATATTAAAAGCTTTAAAAACATTATCTCATGATATATATTATATAAATTTTAATATTATTAGTTGATCGCTTTAGGCTATATAAGTATATTATATAGCTACATATGTGATATGTATTAAAAGCTTTAAAAACAGTATCATGATATATATTATATAAATTTTAATATTCAAATCCTTTTAGGCTATGTAAGCATTATTACATATACTGTAGCTTTTAATACGCATCAAAATATCGATTTTAGCAACAATTTGAACATAATTAAGGGATGATCACGATCCGTAACCCTATCTTACCAGTGGTACCACTGATACCATTTGACATTATTTTCAAGGGTCCCCCAACTGCCATGACCCTTGGTTTACGGATGGTAAACTTACTTTCACGATCCGTAACCATATCTTACCACTTGTACCACTGGTACCACTCGACATGATTTTGAAGGGTACCCCAACTGCCATGGCCCTTGCTTTACGGATGGTAAACTTACTTTCACGATCCGTAATCATATCTTACCACTGGTACCACTCGACATGATTTAGAAGGGTACCCCAACTGCCATGGCCCTTGGTTTACGGATGGTAAACTTACTTTCACGATCCGCAACCATATCTTACCACTGGTACCACTGGTACCACTCGACATGATTTAGAAGGGTACCCCAACTGCCATGGCCCTTGCTTTACGGATGGTAAACTTACTTTCACCATCCGTAATCATATCTTACCACTGGTACCACTGGTACCACTCGACATGATTTAGAAGGGTACCCCAACTGCCATGGCCCTCGGCTTACGGATGGTAAACTTACTTTCACGATCCGCAACCCTATCTTACCAACCGTACCACTGGTACGGATGCACTGTACAACAGACACAAATCGACAACAATACCAATGGTAGATGGTAGATTTATGAAATTTACCATTCGTATCGTATCGTGGTATTGGACCATGTTCGGAACAACTCGCGAAATTCAAGGCAACAATGTCGAAGGATATCCACATCGGATCGACAGTAACTCAGGATTTCTTCTTGGAAATTGAACACATAACTGTTCTCCTTCAATTCCTGATGCCATTTCAAAAACGTCTCTTTCTCTGCTGGATTCATTCCATTGGGATGGTAATAAGGACTCGGTGGTAGGGGTCCAACATAATTCTGGTTTTCCTTCCTGTTAAAGAGGTGAGGGAAATATCCTTTTGCCAGCTCGTTCAACCCAAAGGTTTTGGGAAAATCAGCCAGTCTCATTGGTATGAAACTCAAGGAATCGATGAATTTAATCTTGAGCATAGGTACATACAATGTAAGGATCTTGGCACCACGCATGATGACTTCAGGAATAACACCGTTCTCGTGTAGGTATTGTTGGATGAAATAACCATCGTAGCCCTGAAAATTATGGGCCACCACGATGCATCCTTCATGTTCTTTCGTGAACAGCCATTCGCAGAACTCATTTCTGGTATTATCTCCTTGAAACAACCATTCGTCACCAGCCTCGTTTTGAATTACGCACAAGTTCGGTTCGTGAGTACCACTCTCTTGGATGCACTCAAAATCGAAGAACAGTAGTTCGTTGTATCCGCTTTCGTGGACGTCCTCATCCGCTTCGTCATCACATAAATCAGCCTCACGTGCAGGTTTTTCCTTGACAGGTTGCATGTAACATTGGTGGTCCTCGATGCCCACGTATTTTTCACAGGTCGAACAACGTTTCAGTCCGCAGTGATGCAAATCAGGCCTCAGTCGAGTCCGATCAAAAACAAGATTACAATGAGGACATTTGGCAATAGACAAACAGATCGATTTTGCATTTCCTACGTTTTGTTTGTGCCGATCGAAACATTCTTGACTTTTAAAAATACGGTTACAATCACTACATGAAATCCACGAAACAATCGGACAATTTTGAAAATGGCACAATTTACACGTATCTCCGCATAAATGACTTCTTACATGATCATATCTCTTTTTACAAGTATGGCAATACTTTTTACGAGCAACAAAAGCCGGCATGCTTGTAATCACGTCGAAATGATTGTCATGCAGAAACAAATAGATCCTTTTTTCTTTATCAGGTCCGGAAAAAATGACAGAATTTTGATGCTCTTTCGAAACAATGTTGATTTGATAATCGGTCAAATACGTTTGAAATTGTTTGACGTGGTCTATACCACAAGAACCTATAGGAACACCTGCTTTTTCATGCAAATCATGAGCTAAACGTGTTTGCAGTGAACAACGAAAATCATTTATAGTTTTATATCGGCTATCGTTTTCAATTTTGGCAATCGAAACAACTAAAGCCCGAGCTAAACATAAATCATCCTTGTTTTGAATACGAACAATTGCCCTTTTATTGATCAAATGCTTTTCCAAATTTATTTCACTGCGTTTTGTTCCGGTACCGCCATTGGGCATTTCAACATGGACCAAATTCACCCTGACACTGTCGTTTAGACGAAATTCATGGTTGGATTGAATGACACGCTCAATTTGAGCTAAAACCCGCTCTGTTGTCAAATGAGAAAGAGCCATGAAAGGAAGAGAAATAGGTTTTTCAAGCTGAGGTGAATGCAACACAAAACGTACTTGATCATGCTCTGGAATATCTCGTGTAATGGTATTCAACATACTTTCAAATATTCCATGAAGACGGTTGTGGAACTGAGAAAGCTCCAAATGAGCAAACGTGTCCGTGAATTGTACTGTATAATCCACACCTGTCGTGCTGAATTTTTTCACTTTAACTTGTTTCATATTTGTCACGGTAAAAAAGTTATCGCTAACCTCGTCAGTTGCACTGTCATTCACTTCGTCTATGGATCTTTTCTCACCACGGCCCATTTGCAACAGGGGTTCATCGTTCTGCCATTCACGTATGAATCTTTCACGTTGTCCCGGTGTCCGTAAAGTCAGCCGTAAGCCCTAGCTGCTCATTTTCTACTCTCCATTCCGTTATTCGACGAAAAATTTCCAATTTCCTCTCGAAAAGAATGCGTTGTTCCACTTCATTCAACAAATATAGCCTTTCCAAGGTTGATAATTCAGCTATTGTCTGACACTCGGCAATTTTAACTGCCAAATCCATGTCTAAATAAAAATACTTTTGTTTATTTCCTTTCTATGACATACAACAAGCCATGAAGGAACTTAATACTTTTAACAAACTATAGAACTCTGTATCAAGAACTGAAACTTTTATAGTAAAAAGGTATAAATCGTCCGGTATTGTTTTCGAAAAATCATCTAAAATCTAAGTTGCTATGGCAACCGCTTAAATAACTTCATGATAAATCAACTCTTTTAAAGCAAAACTTCTCGCGAAACGCTTTATTTATGAAAGCTGTAAACAAAACTGTTTTGCCTAAATACCTTTTAACGTTGAAATACAAAGGAACACCTCGTCTGCAAAGTTCTGACCAGTTAATATCTGTGAATAACTATAAACAAAAATCGCGAAACGACAAATATTCAGCAAAGTTCTATCTGTAAAAACTATAAAACAAAAATGCTTTGCCTAAGTTCACATACAAAAAGTTTACCTACATAGTTTGTTAAACAACATACCTTTAAAAGTTGAAAGCAGCAAGTCTTTATATTAAAAAAACCACTCGCGAAACGTCAGTAAAGTTTTCTGTGTGAACAATATATCAAAGTAAATCTTTCAAAGTTCTCTCTGCGAAAGCTGTGTAAACACTACGCTCTTGTAAATTCGAAGACCTCAATTTATACAGTATATTAAATCCGGTTCGAACTGGTATTGTAGCGCTTAATACAAGGATCATATTTTTTTTACAATAAACGTTATGCGACAAATCTTTCGCGACAAATAGTTGCTGACGTCATCTCAAAAGATCACGCGACAAACGTTATGCGACAATGTTCCAAAAATGACGTCACTCTTATCCCTAAAAGCGCTGACGTCCTATGGCGGGAAAAATGCTGACGTCATCCGGCGGGAAAATCACAAGCTCATTAGTATTCCGCTATATGGGGGGCTTCATCTACTGATAAAAAAGGCTTCAGCTTTTTGGAAATAATTATTTGAAAATTTCCGACATCCGCATAGTTTCGTTCTAGGCGACTATCACGGCGAGATATTTAGACATACACGGTTTCTACAATGACTATGTAGTTTTAGTTTTATACCGAGTAAAATGTTGCTGCAAAAGCGTTTTCAACGTCTTTTCGCACCTATTTTGTCATTTTTAGGCTTAATTAATTGAAAATAAATTTCAGAAATAAAGCACTTTTAACAGTATATTGACAAAATTACAAATTCTGTTTTTGGTGTTTACATACGCCGGTCATATATTTCCGGTTTGATCACATGATGCGTTTTATCGTCTCTTAGCCAATCAGCATAACATCCAGATTCTGGATGTTGAACATGACTTTTGAGCCGATTCGTGTCAGGCCCTCTTTCAATACCGAGGGCCTGATACTCAGGTTAACTTTGTGTATAGTGTTTTCTAATTCTTTGACTCATCAAATGCACAATAATTAAACTTTTCTAAAAAAATAAAATAAATTTGCAAGTACTCTCAGGAATTGAAAACATGATAAACTCTCAATTTTTGAGTTTAGTGGTTACTGTAAATATCATTAAAAAAATGTCCAATTTTAAAAAAAATTTGGAGACCTGTAGAAGTTTTGGTGCCAATTGAAATTAAAAATTTGAATTAAACTCAGAACATTTCATAGCAATGGGAAAAGTCATTCCTGATGCAAAAAGTATAAGAAGTAATAGTGAAAGGTCAAGTGACAGAATCAAAAATCAAAAGAAAACTTCCCAAGACATTTCATCAGTAAGCAATTTATTTTTAGTTTTTTACAGCATACTATTATATTGATTGGAATTAGACTTGCATTAACATGATAAACATCCCTAAGGATGAAGTACTATGAAAACAATGGATACAAAATGTTCATCAAGAAAAGTGGTCACCCAAAAAGTGATGTTTTATTATATGTTCTGACCACTTTTGTTCTGGTTGCATTGTCCATACTGTTCTGTTCTTAAAAGGCAGACACTTATATGTTCTGATCACTTCTGTTCTGGCTTCATTGTTCATTGTCCATATGTTCTGGCTTCATTGTCCATACACAGTCTTTTTACTGAGCTAGATCACCATCTTTTTGACTCACCAGTTGGTGAAAATCATGTTATTCAGTTGACCAAGAGCATCATCAAGAGTTACTGTGAGGTTAAATTTTACCATCTTGGAAAAAAGACCACTGAGAATTCATCTGGACAAAAAATTAGAAAGGAAATAAATAAACTTGTACCTTTTAATCACCAGCGTGAGTGATTACACAGAATGTATCAGAGAAAGCTAAATATTACTAAAAATTTACTATGAAACTGCCCAAGCCTGAAAGTGCAGTCTCTGTCTCAAACATTTTACTAAAGATTTATAGTGAGAACTGCCCAAGCTGAAAGTGCAGACTCTGTCTCAAACATAATTTTACTAAAGATTTATAGTGAAAACTGCCCAAGCTGAAAGTGCAAACTCTGTCTCAAACATTTCACTAAAGATTTAGAATGAAAACTACCCAAGCTGAAAATACAGACGCAGACTGTCTCAAACATTTCACTAAAGATTTACAGTGAAAACTGCCCAAACTGAAAGTGCAGACTGTCTTTTTACAGTATAAACTGCCTACGCCGATAGTCGAAACGTTACTTACCAAGTTCCATTTCCATAAAGTGGTGCCAGAAACCGTAAGTACATGTATTGATTAGACGATATACTTCAACAGAGAATCATTCACAGATTCAAAACAAATATATAAAGAATGTCGTAATTCGAAATTTTTAGCTTTAAAATGCGATTCAAAGACAACAACAACGCCAATTAATGTTTTCTTATTGTACCCTTTTCCAAAAAAGCTGCGATTTTAAGGCGAACGTACCTCAAAAAAGTATTTTTAATCCAGAAATGCAAAAAAGCCTCGAAAAGTATAGTATTTTCTATAGCATTTCATTGATGAGTGGGAACCATATGGTGGGGAACGACCAATATGGCCGCCGCCTATTTTCATGGGGGAAACCGCTGAGATTCTTGGCTTCAGTTTTGTATTCCGAGATGCGCTATCTAGTGTATATGAGATATCTATGACGTGCACACGATTCAAAATTTATAATTATGCTTATTGTTATTATGCTCGTCCCACGTGATCTGCCGCAAGTTTCACCAACAACGGACACGAATTTTAAGCTATATGATAGTTGCATGCCATATATGGGCATGCAACAAAAATAATAAAGAAATGAAAAGAATCTCACCTGACTTGTTGACAAATATATAAGATCTCACTCCTTCGGAGGTCGTTTATCCAAATTTTCGTGCGTTTTAGACATATTCGTGTAATAATTTTCCCTTTAACAGACGCAGCTTGACATATTCTTTCAAATTTTGTCCTCAAAATAAAGATCGGACGGTAGATGTTTTTAAAATCGCTGTTTTATTGCGAAAATTCGGCATTTCGCCATTAACTTCAACACAAAAATTCGGTTCGGCGCTTACTAGACGAAACGCGTAGAAACTGCGTGGGCTTTCGAAATGGGGACACCGAGAATGACACCGAGAACAAAGGAATCGACCGCGAGTCTTTGGTTATCGTTCCATGTTTCGCGCACCAATATAAGTTAGGGTTAGGGGTTAGGTATTAGGGTTAGGGGTTAGGTTAGGGTTAGGTTTAAGGTTAGGGATAGGGTTAGAGTGTGTATATATGTATATGGAGGTATCCAGTTAACTTTTCAGTACATCATAATATCCATTACATAACGTTTACTATATTGGTGCGCGAAACATGGAACGATTACCTAATCTTTGACAGCGTTTTATGTCAATTGCTGACGTCATTAGAACTTTCCATTTTAGAAATTTATTTTGTCTGGTGACCTATGTTCAAATTTTGCATGCTGTATTGCACCGCTAAAAACTTTCGTTATACAAAAATAAAAAAAATCTGTAATGCCAAAAAATTTTACCGAAGAATATGACATTTTCACATTTCCCAAACAAACGGCATTACAGAATTTTTTATGTTTTGCTAATTGTTAGCTTTCCGTCCAAGTAAAATAATGCACGAAAAATATTTGGGGGCACCATGCCTTTTTTCCAACTATACGAGACGATAGGCCATTTTGGAGTGAATTTTGTACACGTATGTCGTCATAGCAACAAACTATCTGTTACTAAAACTAATATAATTTGAAAGTAGAGTTATCAAGATATATAAAAAAACCCAATATCTGCTGAATAAATCCTAAAATTGCGTAGTTTGAACATGTCAAAGTATTAAACACCTGAATTTTTGAAAACTCTGTCGATCCACCTTAACTGCATTGTTGTTCGCTTTGAGATGATAATGTGAATTCATTATCATGAATCAGTTTGAATTTTTTGTTTCATATTTCTTCACTTATTGCTTTTAAAAATCTATACTACATATAGAGCAGTCGTGTATGTATAATACAGAGTTTTCAGTTTTCACCAGGATTTCAGAATATGCGCGCTCTGTAGAAAGGCGGCTACGTTTTATTGCATGGTCCTATAAGAGTGCGAAATTTGGGTCGTTTTAACAATTATTTGTCCGTGTTACAATCCTAATAAAGAATTGATTTCTTCCTATATCAAGAAATATAGAATAATGTCTGAGCTCGAGGTATTATTAAAATTATTATATATATATATATATATATATATATATATATATATATATATATATATATATATATATATATATATATATATATATATATATATATATGTATATATATATATATATATATATATATATATATATATATATATTTTGAACGTAAAGGATACAGCCTAAACCCAATTTATATGGTCTTGGTAGACCTGACTATACCCCAAACAACAATAAACTTCATCAAGTATAACGCATTCAAGATGCAGTACCATTTCTGGCTATTACTAGGTAGACATATTTCGGTCTAATGCCTATAGCAAGCTTGTATATATCTAGCAAACATAGCATTAGAATGTATTCCCTCCACTCGTGAGCTTTCAAACTATTGTCACATATAGTTTGACTGCAGGCCTTGTGACCCTGCATGGACACTTAGAAGGAAGAAATACACATACACAATGATTAAAGGTTTTATTATC